CTAAAAGCTTTGTAGAAGAACAAATCAGCACCTCTAAAGCAGAAGGAAAAAAAGGTATGGGGGGTGGAATTCAAACTAATTTATTGATAATCAATAGAACATGGTTTACATCTTCTCAATAAATGTATGTTAAGGACAAAAATTTAATACCACCTCAGACAAAGAAAAATATATATTCTCAAAGAAAAGGCCTGAGACAGAGATCAAGACATCATTAATAAAAAGTGTACATTTTGTTGAGGTGGTTTGAACTCAGGGGAGTTGGGCAGGAATAAATATTCCTCGCTCCGCTTTCTCATCTGGAGTGGAGATTTTGCAGGGGTGGGGCCCGTGGCCGTGTCTCTCCAACCCCCCAATGTCAGCATCACTCAGGCTGACTACACAGCACAGTGTGCCCCTAACATATACTCCGCTCCTCTGGGACAGAGGCAGCACACAGACTGCCATCTCTGGTCATTAGGTCCCATGGCCCAGGAGTCACGTCTCAAGATTTGCCACCATTAAATATTTGATTAGAAAACAGGTAATGAGGGGCGCCTGGGTGGCTCAATCGTTAAGTGTCTGCCTTCGGCTCAGGTCATGATCCCAGGGTCCTGGGCTCGAGCCCCGCATTGGGCTCCCTGCTCGGCGGGAGGCCTGCTTCTCCCTCTCCCACTCCCCCTGCTTGTGTTCCCTCTCTCGCTGTGTCTCTCTCCGTCAAATAAATAAAAAATCTTAAAAAAAAAAAACAGGTAATGGGATATCCTGAAATTGCAACTGGATTTCAGATGTAGTCACAGCAAATTGGAAGCAGATGCAAAACTACTTCAATGGCCTTGGAAACTCACAAAGTCATTTAAGAAAAAAAATACAGGGTGCCTGGGTGGCTCAGTTGGTTAAGCGACTCGCTGTGTCTCTCTCTGTCAAATAAATAAATAAAATCTTTAAAAAAAAAAAATACATACTTCATTCAGTTCCCAAAAGGAATTACAGGTGCTTCTAACGCCCAGCCCAGTGCTCTTGTCATCATTTTACCAGGCATCAATATTCTATGATTTCTTTTTTTTTTTTTTTTTTTAAATAGGAGCACTGAGGCCTAGGAGAATACACCTGATAGGGAAAGACTTCAAGTATTTTTCTGGCTTTTCTTCTTTTACATAAACTCCACTTACATTAAGTAGTTGTCACCCAGAGGCACAGACTGTTTTATAGTTTTTCCATCTCCCATACTTGCTAAACATGTATTTGTCAATTAAAACCCTACATTCTTGAGTAAAAATGTACTGCACTATAAAAATGTGAACTCACAGGTAAAAATTTTTGGTCATTCAACCACTAAAGATCATGGAAAGTTCACTTTTCTAAATGTCAACATAATGGATACCAGAGAATTAATTTTAAAGAAGCATTATGAACAGCCTTCACTTAAATTCTTAGCGATTCCAATCTTATTCCACTGCACATATTATAGCAATTTGAACCTTCTTCTGCTTCAATATTAGGCTGATAACAATTAGCAAGGATTATCTATAGGACAACTTATGTTCTGCTGCAGTAAGGACTTCTAATAAGGAGGAGGAGGAAGGATAAGATAAAGAGGACAGAAAGAATGAAAGGGGGTGAGGACCGTAATTATTTCTATAAACAAACACAACAATTGCCACTTAAAATACCTGGCATTTATATATATATATCCGAGCTGAGAAATGTAAAGTAACTTCTTTAAAAATTAATGCTCAGCTATTGTCTATTCAACCTTATTACATCAAAGAATGATTAACCATGAACACACACATACACTCAAGGGATATGCCATATGGTATAAACTATAAGTGGCTTTGGAAGTAAGAGGAGGTGTGAAAAGAATATTGGGGAATCCTGAAACCAAGCTTCTCATACTAGGACTAACCTTTGTCAGGTTACAACCCCTCTGAGCCTCCATTTCTTCACCCATAAAATGAAGAAATCATGGACTCTGTGGTATCTTAAATTCCCTTCCAAATTCATAATTCTTCCCACTGATTAAATGGGAAAAGCAAGGACTTAAGAACAAGTACTTAAGTCAAAACTTAATTGACTGAATTGAACAGTCAATTCTGTTGTAACACTTGTTTTGAAAATGCAAATTTGTTCCCACACAACGGATATAGCGTAATTCAATTTCTGCGTTTGCTCTTGTGTCATTCAATCCACGAGAAACCCGCGGTGAAGCAGGCAAACTGCACTCGGCTGAGCTGTCAGAGAAGGAATACACCAAGTGCATGCGCGCGCACTCCGTGGTCTCGCCGTGTCTGCAGCACACGCCGTGCTCCGAGCCACACCGACCGCTCTGGCAGGAGGACTTTCTGACCTACTGCAGATAAGCCTTCCAGCACCTCTGCTTCAGGTCTGTTTCAAGGTAAACTCCCCCATTACTCTAGTACCTACGTACTTTCAGCCACTCAACATATGTGAAACTGTGCGACCATTTTTATAGGCTCATATCTTCTTTTATGTGTCACTGACAACGTTTTTGAGTACTGTGTCCCTAATCCCATTTTTCCCATAAGCCTTGTGGTTTTTTGTTTTTGTTTTTCAATGGAACAGAACGGAGAGCCCAGAAATGGACCCTCAACTCTACGGTCAACTAATCTTCGACAAAGCAGGAAGGAATGTCCAATGGAGAAAGGACAGTCTCCTCAATAAATGGTGTTGGGAAAATTGGACAGCCACATGCAGAAGAATGAAACTGGACCATTTCCTTACACCACACACAAAAATAGACTCAAAATGGTTGAAAGACCTAAATGTGAAACAGGAGCCTTGTGGTTTTTTACCACACAATGATTTTTAGCAACTTTATGTCACAGAGCAGAACTGACTGTATCACTGTTTGGGGAAAAGTCATCAATGAACACTTCCATTTTTTCAAAGAGAACAGATGGACAAGCTTCCTCCAAGTCTGTTTACGCATTAAGTTAAAATCAGAGAAAAGTCTGAGATCCCTCCTGAACAGGTGTTTGTTACTTCTGTAGCTCCCACATCAGGTATCAGATTTGGAGTCAGAAGGAGATCATTCACCTTGAAATAGCCAACGAAAAACTGGATTTGTCAATTAATGAAGAGGAGACACTGAATGTATCTTCTAAATTCACACCTTGATTTTGGCAGGAAATCTGGCATGCACCCGTTCAATAATGAGATGTTCAAAAGCTACTCATGAAAGACTGAATGAAAGAATAGGGAGCAAAATAAAAATATTTCTGCAAATGGTTCCAACAGTGCCGTAGAAACCACAGAGCATTTACAAACACTCTTAATTCTTGATCGACTCAGACGTCAAGGAGGAGAGTGAAGTAAAGGAAGCCCTGCATGTATCCTCATTTCCACACAGACCAGAAAGAGGAGACAGACCTCACCACTGAGCACTGAAGCCGAAGGTTGGCTAAAACCCGTCTCTCAGAGCCAGTGGGCTGATAAAAGCACTGTGCATCCCACATGCTGAGCAAAGACAGGGAACATCATGACTTGGCCTTCTCAAAAGAACCAGGACTGATACCGGGGGGAACGAGCATTGACGTAGTCTAGCATGTACTCCTACACACCAGGCCAAGTTATTATCACAGCCACAATCCTGGCACTGTTTCTTAAAAACTACATTAAAATTTTTTTTTAACAATTGACATTTTTGTTAACATACCTATCTACACATATGCAAGGGAAACAAGTAAAAGACAAAAAGACCAAAATGGTAAACATAGTTTAAAATTCGGTTAATAAGATTATAGATGACTTTTTTATTGATAGCTTTCATTATTTTATACAATGAATTTATATGTTTTTATCATCAGAAGAAAACCAACTGACTGAAAGAAATGAATCCCTGATCATCATTCACGTCGAATTCACAGCAAGCTGTCAAATGTCTCCTTTACTTTCCAAAGGGTGAAAGGTGAGCAGCCTGGATTTGGAAGACACTTGTCCTTCCAGGCAGGAAATGTCAGAAAGAGCTTTGCAGGAAAACTCTCAAACACAGGAAGGTGGACGAGCACAACGGTGGACACTACACACTCAGATACATCAGACTTTGTTTGTTTTGAATCAGCATTTTGGTGACTCTTACAGGTATTCCGAAAAATCCTTGCTTTTGGGTAAAGCTAACAGAGACACTGAACTAAATTTAACAATGTCTGGTAGCAGAGAATATGGGAATATGATCTAACCAAAGACAACCAGTGACCAAAGCCTGAGAAATGTGCAAAAGGCCACTGTAAGATTTTATAGCCAGCTTTCTCTCAAGATCACTGTGCGAATGATGAGGAACGTTCATTTCCCCACTCAGAAAGCACATGCAGGCTAACTACCAGACACACAGCACTCTCCCAGATGCTACAGTGAATACAGAAGAAACGGGGTGCAGGCATTCTCTCCAAAGCATTCACAGGCTGATGAGGAGACACAGGACATACATATCAGAAATACATAAATAACGTAGTAAGACAAAAATGAATGGCCAAATGAGCGGTAAAGTATTTCAGGCATTTAAAGGAGCACAGCTCACTACGGGCTTAAGTAGGTGGGAAAGGCTACAGACAGGAAAAGAGTTTTGATGGCAGATGGAGGGAGGCCAAGGTAGTCTAGGCCCAGTCACCAAGATAAGCAAAGTCACTGGGATGGAAAAGGCAATGATGGGTGTGGGTGGACAAAAATCAGGATGGAAAACAAGAAAAGGAAGGAAGGAGAGAGAGATTCAGGCAGATTATAAATCCTCTTAAGGGTTCCTTTACCTCCAATCCCTCTGATATACCATTATCAGATTAAGAACATTTGTGGGAAAATCTATGTACCACACTATGCTAAATAAGACAGAATATCTAAGCTCATTATAATCTTCCAAATGGGTGCCATTATTCCATTTTACAGATAGAAACAAATTAAATAGAGAAGTTAACTAATTTGCCCAAGGTCACCAAAGTAAGCAAGAGAAGTAGGATTTGAACTCAGGCCTACTTGACTCCAAAGTCCATCCTCCTTCTTAAACATCACTCTGAACCTGTGCCTCCCCCGCTTCCATTATAGTGCACGTGCCCAACCTTCTGACTCTCCATGTCCTCATGGTGATCCCCATCAAGGCCTGCTGTCAGGAGAGTATCTGCAGCTAAAACAAAAATGACCAAAAACACTTTACCCCAACCTGGGGTATTTTCAACGCTCCAGGAATCAGACGCTTAAGTTAGGAAAAAAAACTCTGATATAACCCCTTGACGGAATACAGATCTTACCTTCTCAGGGGGCCAGGCCAAATATGTACCTGACAATGGCCATTTCCATAGCTTATAGCTTAAACTCCCACAGTAAGACTCTCCCTCATCAGCCCAAGGGTCTCCACCTGGGAGACAAAAGGCCATGTGCGGCTGCAGGAGCCCTTCACAATACTACGAGTCCCAGTCATTTCATATAGGAAGTATATGGGAAAACCTACCCAAAATGTGTTTGACATCTAAACCATCAAATGTTTCTTTAAAAGACAGGTTGCCAAAAAAAAGTGCTTTCTAATAATTCTACAAAATACTCTTCTCCTGTCTCCGGGAACCAGGAACATTATCTTTATTGCGTTCACCTTTTCTACAAAGATTTTACAAATATCAAATGGCGCAAGTGTCATCTTTCAAAGGAACTGAAAAAAAACCACATGGGATCCTGGAGTACATAAAAATGAGTGGGTGGAAGAGCATGACCCTGACAGAGATTGCACCATGCGCTCACCAGGAAAATAGCCTTCACTCACTGACGTCCATTTGCTAAAACCAGAATACACTGATAATTAGGTCAAAGGTCTACTGAGAACTTGAAAGTTCCCCACCAAATATTTTAATGAGCCAGGGAATGATAAGAGTTTCAGAATGTGTTTCAAAATGATTCGAATTCAACATAAGAAAATTTCCAGACCAGCTCAGAAAATACATTGAACTATGTGTTTCACAGAAAATAAAAGGAAATTCTAAAAGTGCTACTATTCTTTCTCAACAAAAGCTGTTACATCTCTTACCCTAAAGAAATCACTTTCTAAGAAATTCCCATTTAATCAAAGCTCCAACGTGTATGCCAACAGATTTTAGGGTAGAACTTTCAAGTGGTGAAAGAAACTGTCGCCCTTACGTATCTGGATGGCTCCTCCAGGTTCTGGTCATTCACGTCAGTAGGAACAATTCGAGTGGCCAGTGGTCCCTCCGCAAAAGGTTTTGGTAACTGACCCCTGAACTCTGATGGAATGAACTGAAGCTGCCAACTGTCAGAAACACAAATAAGGAAGAGTAAGAAAAACACAGGGGGCCCATATTGCTAAATGTACTTGAAATAAGCCAAAAAAAAAAAAAATTCATGTGAAAAACATCTCGCTTGGAGAAAAAAATATTTCTGCTAAAACCTCCGCCAGGGGGCATAGAGGCAAAGGTCATGATTCAGTCCAACATCGTTGAGAAATTTTCAGTGAGAGGTCTCTCAACCCACTCCACCAACTCTTAGCAGTAAAATTTGCAACCAAATGGTCCTTCCACCAAACAACCAGAGAAGCATCCCAGTTTATCACCAATAACCACATGATAGAGGCACTTACCAAATTAAAGCAAATTCATCAGGTAGGAAAAGAGTGAAATGCAAGAACACACTATGGGAGAAGTACTTTGTCCCTGAGTAATTCTCACAAGTATCTTTAGTTATGAAACTATTGCAAAGGTAAAAGGCAAAGGCTAACATTAGTTAATACTTCAAAAAAAAAAAAAAAACAAAAAAAACCCACCTACATTTTAATTTAATGATTAATGACCGTTACAGGATCTTCCTTCAGCACAAGATACCCCCACCAGCTAAGCTGCTGAAGCCAATCCCCAAATGGAACAACATGACTCATCTTAACCCGACTTCCCTTTTCCCTAAATAGGACCTTCTCCGTCCGAATCAAGCAAACACGAGGAACTCCTGAGCCTACGCTATCATCCAACAGACAGCATGAAGGCAAGTGGTACACTTACCTTAACCAGAGCTTTCCCCAGCGTCCACATGCTGGTAAAGAACTTTCACTATCATTGGATGACAAACATTTCTTCTCTAAAAACACTCTTATAGCTAGAGTTTCTAGACCACTTTTGGAAGTGGATTAATATCAGATGATTATTGAAATTTACATATGAATCCTCAGGAAGAGCCACTAGCAGGAGCCTGGGGCCCCAGGGGTTTTTAGAAGTCCCCGCAGTTACAGGGAGCATGGGGTGCGTGGCCAGACACAGCCACCAGTCCACTGAACACCACTGTGGTTGCACAGTGCAGATCTCACAGCTCTGATGTGGTCAATTATCCAACAACTTTTTGTGAAAATCCGAACATGAAAGAAAAATTAAGGAGACACTATCATAGAATTGCTATTTTTACTCCTTGATTTAAAACTCTGGGAATTAGGGGGCGTCTGGATGGCTCAGTCGTTAAGCATCTGCCTTCGGCTCAGGTCATGATCCCAGGGTCCTGGGATAGAGCCCCGCATCGGGCTCCCTGCTCGGCGGGAAGCCTGCTTCTCCCTCTCCCCCTGCTTGTGCTCCCTCTCTCGCTGCCTCTCTGTCAAATAAATATTTTAAAAATAAATAAATAATAATAAACATAAAAAATAAAACTCCAGGAATTAAAGGAAAACTTACTTATCAGGCAGAAGGAAGCTACTGGGAAAGCGATACCATTCCTTTCCTACACAGACATTCACAGGCCTGCCTTCTGGGACAGTGTGGATGGTTGGGTCCGTGGCAATTCGATAAAATTCTGGATACAAATCAAGGGGCCCGTGATACCCTGGAAGGAAGAGAGGTTTGTGAAAGCCAAAGATGAGTAAGATGAGAGGCTGACAATGAATCATAATGCACGTGAACGTCCCCCTGTAACTCGTGTGTAACTGAAGAGTGTGAAGGTCCCCAGCACATGAAGCCTGCCCCACTGATACACAGCGTCTCTCCAGTGAGCAAGATGATCACAGCAGAGACCCTGTTCTACCAAACAGCATTTGCTTTCTTGCCCTTCTCTACACCCTTCTGCCTTTTTAACTTCTTTCTTTGAGCACATTTTAATCTTCTGGATCCAAATAATAATTACAGGAAGAATATAATCATGGGAATTAAGCCCCAAATTTGCTTCCTATGTTCAACGCTTCCTTAATTCATCCTTCAAAATGAAAAAGCATCCTTTAAAAAACCAACAACAAAAAAAACCAAGAATAGAAAAAAAAAATTTTTTTTTTTTTTAAAGATTTTATTTATTTATTTGAGAGAGAGAATGAGACAGAGAGAGCGAGCATGAGATGGGGAAGGATCAGAGGGAGAAGCAGACTCCCTGCTGAGCAGGGAGCCTGATGCGGGACTCAATCCCAGGACTCCAGGCAGTCGCTTAACCAACTGAGCCACCCAGGCGCCCAGAAAAAAAATTTTATAGTCAGTCAGAAATTCCTTGTAGAATTCTCAGTCTTCTCTTTCATTTTAAGGAAGAGAAGTCACATTCCTGCCACAATATTAAGTCCACGGGGTCTCTTTACAGCAGTCCTCCTCCCAGCTGAAGTTGAACTGTGTTAATCACATATCCATCAAAATCCAAGGTGAAGTGCCTCGTGAGTCTGGGGCAAGACATTCTCTGTGCACCTACCTTTGAACAGTGCCACAGAGCGAGAAAAGGACAAGAGCCCAAACAGGACGAGCATTCCCGATGCCAGCCAGTTCGACGTCACCGTGTAATGCTCCAGGCGGTATCGCTGAAACACGAAGTGGTAACATTTCTAGAAGGAAAGAAAACTGTATTGAAAAAAAAAAAAAAAAAACTTGCAGAATATACATAATATAATCAGAAAACATCATAACAACACCAAGAGGGAAGAAGCGCAGAAAAGAGTCTATTAAGGGTCTGAGCATTTGCAAACACTTAAGTGAGGTACCCGCTCCAAGTTCTAAGATGAAAACAAATTCCGTTAAGACTATCTACAGGTCAGCCCAACCAGAGGAATTCTCACCAGCTTCATAGGAAAAATATTTGGAAACCTCTCTAGTGCTTAAGGTCCTAATAATTTATTTTTTTTTTAATATTTAAACAAAAGTGCTGGTGTGCCTGGCTGGCTCAGTCGGTGGAGCATGCGACTCTTGATCTCAGGGTTGTGAGTACAAGCCCCATGTTGGGCGTGGACCCTACTTAAAAAAAAGAGTGTTCTTAATAAATAAATAAACAAAAGTGCTTTTTGGCAGTTTGCTTTGATATATGAAGTATCTCTATTTTGATGTAACAAGTGTTCATCTTTACTTTTCTCGCTGAGAAGTTTTCATCAGTTTTAGTATCAACAGAATGTCTCATGACCAAACAAGAAAAAAGAATTCCTCTCACAGAGCATCAGGAAAATGCGGTTAATTATCTGCTAAACTACTTTACAAACCAGAGGATTATTATTACAATATATACATACATGCATGAATTCTACAATCTTTGAGCACGTTCCCATTAGATTTATTTTCTTTTTTCCTTCTTAGACTAGACCTAAACTTTGGGGAAGTAAAATTTTGCAAATATTTACTTGTTAGTGCCATAAATGTGTTTAAACTCCTTCATATTTGGGGGAATCTGTCCTAGGGAAACAATCCAAACACCTAAAGAAAGATGTTCATCCTAGCATTGTTTATAATACGGAAATAAGCATCCTAAACCTACCATAAATTATGTATCTAATCATTCTATGTAACAAAGTCAGTATATTACATACATTACATAATGTTTTTATACCAAATTTAGAACATACTCCTATTCAAAAGATGGGTATAGATATGACAACCCTGAAAATGATCTACTGTATATTTTTTTTTTTTAAAGATTTTATTTATTTATTTGACAGAGAAAGACACAGCGAGAGAGGGGACACAAACAGGGAGTGGGAGAGGGAGAAGCAGAC